TAGATGTGCTAATGATTAGGTTCCATTCCTGTAGGGGAACATTATAGGTCCAATTTCCCACTTGGAACCACTCCTTTGATTTTTGCGAACAGCCTCATCAGCTTCTAGGAGAGGATTCACCCTCCCAGCAATATGATCCAAGGGAAGTTCTGTGGTCCAGGGCTGGGGAGAGCCAGGAGAATTCAGTTGGAAAGGTCAACAAGGGCAAGAAGTTCTGCCACAGCTGCCTGGCAAGACCTACTTTTCTCCAGCAAAGCCAAACTGAAAGTAAAGATAGAGCAGACAAGAGTCTTAGGCCCATCAGCTTTCAAACTGCCCCTTTATAATGATCCTTGTGAAATAATTATTTCTATCACTGGTCATCTGGTATAGAAGATTTAAGATAGGGGGTTCATTGAAGAGAGTCAGGATCGCAAACTCATTTAAGTCTCCTTGAACTGGCTTAATCAAAATGATTTTCTGCTGCTCTCCATTATAAGCCAAGTTTCGGTGGTGACAGATTAATGACTGATCCCCTAAGCCCTACCACCTCCCTTGTCACCAGTCCTACCCACTGAGCCAGCCCCTGTTCTATCAATAAGTCCCATCTGCCCTTGAAACTCATTACAGCAGAGATGCTAACATCAAATGAGCAGATCCAATGCTCACAGCCAACCCGGTTCTGCTACAGAGACTGACAAATCCACAGAGTCTGCAGCAGAAGGGAGGAGAACGAGGGCCGGTCCTAGAGCTCTCATTAGGATCACAAACCCAGGCCACTCAGGAATAAGATAAATGCCAGCCAATGCAACACTTCTGACTCTTGGAGCATGCTGACGGTAATTATTCTGGCGTTAAATGTCAGGGCTAGTTTCGTGTGTGCAAAAGAAAGAAAATGTCATGTTTAGTGTAAGCAACAATATTATTCTCATCAAATCAGAAGCTCATCATTAAAAGAAGGTAAGACCTGACATGACCTCCCAATCCGCTGTGTTCACCTGGCTTCCTTCTCCACTCTGTGGGCAAGCTAGGGCTCTTTGCTGATTGCCCTTGGGCATTACGTAGGGAACTTGCAGCGTGGCATTATGTATGCAGCCTCACACAGGAAACGCACTCAGCCCTGGACTGGTTGCAGTGCTTGGGCTCTCAGCACCCTCATTCTGGAGAAGAGAATAAAACTTCCCAGTACAGAAGGAATGATGGTAACAGTGCTTCCTTCATAGGATTGTTAGGAATACTAAGTAAAATGATATAGGGAAAGTACCCCAGACAATTTCTGATGCACCAAGTGTCCCGTGAGTATTAGCTATTATCTATTTCTCCAATGCTTTAATCTTTTCATTACAGACAACATAAATTGGATTTATAAACATTTTTTAAAAAGAACAAAAAAAAGTATGACAGCATAAGTAAACAGCAGACAAGACATTACATGACAAAATAGATTAATTCTGTTCAGCTTTATAGCTCAATGCCTAGCACACGGTAGGCAGTCAAATATTTGCTGAAATACATGAACGTAAGAATGAACAGAGTAAATTCCCCTTCAAATAAAGGTCACTAAAAGCCTTATCATGCCATGCATGGTGGTGCACACCTGGAATCCCAGCACTCGGGAGGGTGAGGCAGGAGGATCACCCTGAGTTCAAGGCCAGCCTAACTATATAGCAAGACCCTGTCTAAAAAAAAAACCATACCATATTTGTGCATCTTGACCTCACATGATGGAGCAGTACATAATGCTGAAGATGAGAGCTACAAAACTTAACACAAATATTGCAAGCATTAATTTCTGCATCTTCTCCTTCTTAATACTATACTTGTGCAAAAGTCCAGGCCTCCATCTATCCAAAACATCAGAATTGTTAGTCCTTATGAAAGAATAATGACCAAATATTAGATCACAAATGCAATCAGGACCAATTATAGAAATGTCGCTATGGTTCTCTTGGATCAATAATTTTAGGCAACAAACCAGGAGGCAGGTCGGAAGATTTTACTTCTGTAAAGGAGACAGTGACTACCTACACAACGAGAGTGATACCACACATTCCACGTGGCAAGCAGAGGCTGCCTGGTGGTCTCAGGCAGTGCCTGGCACAGTCCACAGTCCAGGGAATGTAGCACACATGGCACCATCACACCCATTTCAAACCTGACCAGTGACAGTCACCAATGGGAACAGTCACCTCCCTACAAAGAGCTCTTAACTTTCATTCCTGGAATCCAAAAATCACTTCTAAACTTCTCTCCCAAGCTCAACAAAGTAACAAGTTGAGGCAAAAGCAAGTTTTCTTTCACACTACATTTCAAAAACTGATAGGCATCCGACCAGTAATCTCAGGACGTGGCCCTTCAACATTATCAGAGGCTTTAAAATACAAAAACTAAAGCCCAAACAATAGCAAAGAAGCTGGGGCTTTGTCCCACTCCAGCAAAACCCTGCTCGGTGAAAACGATCTGCCGAGCACATGCAATGCGAGCTGGCGCTTTGTGTCCTGCCCACACCCACCAAGTAGCCTGTTTCTAAAGAAATCAATCTTTTACTCCCTGGTCCCAGAGGAGTCAGGCTTTGTGGGTATTCCAAGTAAATGGCCCATCTGAAGACAATGGGACTTGCCCGGAGGGTGTATCTCGTCTGAGTTTCACAAGGCTTTGAAGAGGTTAATGGCATTAAATTATGTCTGAGATACTCTGCTGGTTTCAGAAGACTCTGTGCAGCATATAAAATGGATGATGACTGAAGAGGTCTAGGATATTTTGGAACATCTTTAGATGTTCTTGGTATGCTGGGTCAAATTATTGCTTTTATAAACTATATACTGCTAAAAGTATTAGTTGAATACATAAAACTTTCAGAAAGAAGAAGCACTAACTTGAACTTAAGAGCTTTTCTCTTTTGCTGCTGTCTTCGACATACGTACATTACAATTTCTGAGGCAGTATTTCCTAAGCATAAGAACTGCCAGGCATGGGGCTGGGGAGATGGTTGAGTGGAATAAGCACTTCCCTGGCAAGCACAAGGGCCTGAGTTCAATCCCCGGTTCAGCAGAAAGAAAAGAAAGAAAGAAAAAGAGAGAGAACTGCCAAGCATGTGTATTTAAAATGTGGATTCCACCTTACACTCACCCCAGGTAGGTTTCATCATCGGTTAGGTTTGAAAAGAGCACTGAACCAAGGATATGTCGGCATCACCCATAAGGAAGAAAAGAAATGAAGAGTAACCCAATTTTTAGAAGATTTACAGCTAAATGGGAATTAAGAATGTCATATTTATGATGCACTGCCTGCACAAACCTGGAGCAGGTATGAAATAGGACAGCCCCTTTCACAACCCAAAGCCCAGCCATGCAAGTGCTTCTCATCCACGCCCCTCCAGCTTCCCCACCAAGGCACCTGGGAAGGAGGCTCTTCCCCTCTTCCAGATGTGGTCCTATCTACCCATCTCTAGCAGAGTTTAGCATCTGCCCTTCCTCAACTCTATCAAAAATGCGATGATAAAACAGCACAGTTACTTCCACCCCAAGTGAGACCCTGAATAAAAACTTCATGGTTTGAGCATCCATTTCAGTCACAGGCAAAGGCAGTCTGTGCTGAGCCCCTCAGATCTGAGCAGAAAGGGGATGTGGTGAGGTGTGGAAGAGTCTCCCTGGGATGGGAAGGGTTGGGGGGGGCATATCTGCTATAAAATAATTGTGGAAGTTCAATGCATGTAGAAGTCCCTTTCCAAGAAAAGCAGCCCCCCATGGACAAAGGAGAGGTGGAAGAGGAATGAGAGAAAACAAGCCAAGCAAGCCCTTACTGTAGCCTATGAGTATCCATCTGTCCTCTGGATGTGGGCCAGGAGTGAGTGCTCTTTAGAAAGCACAAGGAGTCTCTGAGAGTCATTCAATGCCTCAGAACCACCCCCCCCAGGGGGGAACTAAGGAGACTGGGAACAGGACTAGCGAGTGATCCAGTGGAGATCCCCACTCCTCTCCCACCCCGGAGAACCTGTAAACCATGCCCTACGACAAGAACAAGGGGCTTTGAGGCATGGGTCAAGATGTCATTCTTTTTTAAATATATGCGGCCAGAATGTTGGTGTATCACTAAAAACTGAAAAGGAAAACAAGGTAGCAACACATATGAACACAAAAGCTTTTCTCTTGTTAAACATTTTTACAATATTTTAGGAATTACAAAGACAGGAATGCCTAATGGTAAGTACGATATCACACTTCCAAGTCCCCTGGAAGGTACGGCCCTAGCTTCCTCCGGCATTCTTGGAGGAGTTGGTAGCAGCTCCCATGGCACAAAAGGTTTGCCATCTACTGGGAAACTGGCACCAGGTGCCTCCTGCCCCCACACCTTCTGGGGCACACACCTGGAAAGTGGCTGATTACCATGGGGCAGAAACAGCCAGTACAGGTGTCTGGGTATAAGCTTCTCCCCTCCCAGGGCTTCTTCAGGGCAATGGAGAAACTCCAAGAGCCACCTGTTCCTTCTCCCCCTCCCCTAAAGACTCCAAGGGTCAAAAGGGCAGGATTCTCCCTAAGATTTCTTCAACCCGCTGCCAGGACTCCCCTTCCACCTCTTAAAACTCTTGTGGTATCTGGCTCCCTCATGAATGAGCTTCGGCCCCAAACTGACCCTTTCCCATGGGGATGCTTTTGACACGGCCCAAAGAAGGTCCAGATCACGGCTGCCCTGTGCAGCTTCCAACCTGGGTTTTAGCAAAGTCAACCATCGCCTTCAGGAGAGCTCAGAAGCTTGAGCAGCGACTGTCCCCACAGCTTTTTGTGGCTCCTGCTAGATTTTAAGACGCTCTTCTGCCCACTTCCTGCAAATATGTTACACCTGGACGCAGGTAACAGGCAAGAGCTTGAAGCCTTCCAAGTTCACTCTAAACTTCCTCTCCGGAAGAAGATGTCCCAGACCTGAGCTTCGAGGCAGGTCTGCCCTCCGGTGCCTCCTGCCATGCCTCCCCGCCCCTGCAGGCCCCCCACTCCACCCCGCAGCACCACAGCTGCGGTACTCACGTCTCTGAAGCGATTCCAGTATTTGTCCCTTTCGTACTGAGAGACAGTGCTCAGCCACTGGTCATTGTCCAGGAAATTGCCATTGTTGAGGCCCGCGCCACGGGCGAACGCGTCTAGGTGCCGGCTCTCCACTTGCAGGAAGCAGCAGGCGGCGGCGGCCGCAGCCAGCACTGCGAGCGCGGGCATCTGCGGGGCAGGGGCGGCGGGCGTGAGCGGGCGGGACGGGCTGGGGGCCCAGAGGGGGTGCGGGGGTCGCGGCGCACCTGGGGAGAGCAGATCGGGGACCTCGGCACCCCGCTCTCGATGAGCCGAGCTCAAACGCCGGGCTGGGTCGCGGACTGCGGACCGCTGTCCACCGCGCGGGACCCCTCGCTGCAGGAGCCCCGCGGACCTCGGCTCTCGGGTCGGATCTGGGCGACAGCGCCCCTCCGCCGAAACCCGGCGCCCCAACCTGACCCCAGCCGTGCGCCCAACGACGGCGCCCCGCGCTGGGCAGGAGGCGCGGACGAGCTCCAGCAGCAGTCCCGCCTCCGGCAAAGCGGGCCCCGTCCCCAGCCGGGGAACTGGCTCTGCCCGCCCGCCGGGGCCACGGGCCGGGAAGGGCATGGAGCTCGCCCGAGGCCCCGACCTGCCAGCCCCGTGGGCGGCCGCAGCGAGGTCCTAACTATGTCAAGTTGGGCTCGGGGTCCTCGGCGCACGTACCTTGGGGGCCGCCCGGTCCCCGCGTCCGAGTTGCTTGAGCTCCTATGGAGCGGCCGCCGCGAGAGCTGACTGCCGGCTGGCTGCCTGCGCCCTCGCGCCCGCCGCGCGTCCAGCCGCTTTGTGAGCCCGCAGCGCTCTGGCTCTCCCGGCTGCGCGGCTCGGCTCGGCTCGGGCGCGGCGTCCGCGGGCGGAGGAGCCCGGAGCCAGCCGAGGCCTCTGGCGCCCCCTGGCGGCCGCGCGCTGCTGTGCGGCCCGCCCGCCTGCCTAGCCGTCCCGGCCCTGAAGGTGGGTGCACTCCCTCAGGATGACCGACTGTGAGCCGGCCCCGGGGCCGCTGAAGGAACAAACCGGGGCTGTGAAGCCAGAAGCCGGCCAACCGTTGAGGCGTTCTCAGAAAGTGTATTCCAGGGCTTCCCTTCTCTGCTTAGAAATAGAGACACAGGGAGGACAGGGGAGAGATGTTTGCTGCCAAACGGGGCAAAAAAGTGGGGACAGGCGGCTTGCATGGGCTCCTGGGAGCTCACAGACATTCTCTCCATCCTTGCTAAGGTTCACTCGGCCCCAACGCTGGCAGGTCAGCAGAGTTCTGAGGTCCTCACTGTGCTGTTATTCTGAGGACTCCACAACCCAGGGACTCCTGTACCCTCCACAGGTGTTGCTCCACTAAGCTACACCCAGTCCTTTTTACTATTATTTTGAAACAATATTTTGCTAAGTTGCCCAGACTGGACTCAAAATTGCAACTCCCCTGCCTCAGCTTCCCTGAAGAGCCAGGATTACAGGAGAGCACTATGTGCCTGACTCAGAGTCCCTGGGGCCTTTCACGCACTGCACATTGTGGGTGGATTTCTATGCCCACCTGCATCTCCACAATCCGCCCCCTACCACCGCCACTTTTATCAGCCCTGTGTGGACCTTCAGACTTTTATTTCTATCATTTCTATGTCCTTGTGCTCATAACGACTCTGAGGATATTTTCGTCTCTGTTTCTGTCGCCACCCCATGGGAAATAGCCCCAAAACTAGCCTGACACATTTTCTTAGGAAGAAAAGAAAAGAGAGCTTGAGTAGGCATCAGGGACAGGACACCAAAGTAGGAGGCTGACCCTAATCACCAACTCTTTTACTATACCCAGTCATGTTTGATCAAATAGAGCTGAAAGGGACTTGCTGACTTCCCTGCCTGAGACCAGGACGTACTTAGCGCTGCCTTTGCTATACCAGTGCAGCCCACTCCACAGGTACAAAGGGCAAATAGAACAAATTGTACCTCCACTATGCCCAACACATGCTCAGAACACTCCATGATGCTTTTCTGAGTAACAGTTGACTCCTGACTACAGCTCAAGCCCTGCACTTCTGGATATCTGTCACCGCATTCCCTCCTCCTGGCTTCACTTCTTGGACAGTCTACCTCTAGGATTAGACCCCAGGGGAGATGAGCCACCTCCAACACAGGCTCTCTCACTTTAGCTGGGACCAATGTCCATCCAGCCCAGCCTAAGCCCCTTTAATGCGCTCCCGCTTATTTGCCCTGTGCAGAGACACTCTTGCTGAGCCCATGGGCCAGGCCAGGACCCCGGTGTCTCTGTCCTTGACAGCTCCATGCACCTGCACTGAAGGTTACTAGTTCTATGTTTTTCTTGTTCACAACAACTCCCTGGTCTCAGTGCGCAAGCTCCTGACAATGCAAGTACTCACAACAATACTCACTTGAGTGGATAAGTGAGTGAGCGAGTGAGTGAGTGAGTGGATGAATGAGTGAATGAATGAATGAATGGCACCCAGCCAAGGCTGAACCATGCTTCTCAGTTAACAGTAATGTGCAATGTGGTCAGTTGTGAGCTATGCTGCAATCATTTGCTTGTGTGTACTTGGATTTTGACTTTTCTCAAAAACATCAGTGGAGCCCCGGATGTCCCAATTTTACACCAACTGATGTGCATGCCTGGATGCTTTCTTTCTCTTTCTTTTTTCTGTATTTAGGACAGAATCTACAGGGTGTACAGGGTCTCACTACCTGGATCGGATTCGTGATTCTCCTATTTTCAGCCTTCCAAGTGCTGGGATTACAGGTGTGTGCCAGGGCCACAGCGCTCTGCCTAAGCAGGCACTTTAGTCTGCTGAACTATCAGGCCAGCCCCCTGGAAGCTTTCTTGAAAGAGAAAGGAATGAAAATCCCAGCTGTTGTGTTCAGAACTGTCCATCAGCCAAGGTTTACCATGGGAATATCGTAGGCATTCAACATCCAGTCCTGGGTATATCAGAGTAGGAGAGAGGCTTACGTTTGAGGGAGAGAATATTTCTTATGTTTGTAAAAACCCAGGCAAGTTGCACTTCTCATTTCTCTGCCCAGTTTGATAGCAAAACTTCCCCGATGAGTTGTCTCCAGGTGTTTTTCACCTCATCTCTGATGCAGCCGCACCTGCTCTCATTTGCGTTTCGGCCCCACTTACAGCTCACATCCACAGCCTCCTGTAGTTGGTCTCTAAACAGTTTCTGTGGGCTCTGGGGCACCATCCCTCCTTGCTTTCCTGACCTCACTAGTCACTCCTATGTGTATACCAGCACTGCTTGCGGTTCAGGCCCAGACCGCCTCACATCTGCCTTTCCGTGGAAGTTCACATCAAGGCTTCCACTGAGAGTATCCGGGTATAATCCCAGCCCACAAGTGTCTAAGGACTTCCTGCTATTCATACTAACATCTCAGGATTCCTGCAGGTACGTGAGACATTATCAGGATTTCTCTCAGCACCTCTGCTCTATGGTAAACCTAGCCCAACCACATACCTGCCTCAGGCAGAAACCTGTGGGTCAACTTCTGTTCCTCTACTTCCTTACCACTTCCCATTCCCACGAACTGGTCCATTCCACCTCCAAATGCCCATGAATGTGCCCTCACATGCAACCTCAACAGCCACCACCTACTCCACTCAAGCACCACTTCTCACCCAGAGGACCACAGGAGCTTGCTTACTGGTTTTCTTCATCCTTGCCTTTCTCCTACAGCCCATTATCCACTCAAAATCAGATAAATGCTTTTGAAATAGAATCCCCATCTTACATAAAACCTCCTAACCACTCACCATGACACCAAGACCACGATGGACAAAGTGGCATGCCATTTGGCCCCTCAGCTCCACCCTCATGCCCTAGATTCTAGACATTTTCTTTCCCATGCCAACACATCAAGTGCACCCCCACCTCAGGTCCTGCACCCCAGCTGCGGCCTCCTCCCAGAATGTCCTTGCTCCTGTTCATCACAGGTGAGTTCATTCTTGGCTGGCAGATGTCATCATCTCAGTGAAAGGTTCCCAGACTGCTTCATCTAACACAGCCATGCTGACCACCACTGGCATTGCCTGTCTGCTATTGCTCCTGTCTGTTCCCTTAAGAGTGCTTTGTTCCTTTACTTATTTCTCTTTTCCTCAATGCAGATCTTAATTCACAAAGAACAAAGCTGCTATCTTTTTCACTTCTGCACAGGCTTATCTCAGAGCCTAATGGTTAGTGGGCATTCAACAAATATCTGTCCAGCAAGTGCGTGAATGGATGAATGAATGAGTGAATGAATGGGTGAAACACATTTGAGGAGCCTTCATCCATCCTAAAGTTTGAAGCCCCTAGAACTACCTGGAGCATTTGCTTTGGCAGCATTGCTCCTTAAATGTCTTGTTCTACAGAGCTGTTCTCTGCTTCTCTGGGAGGTCCTGTCCCTGGTCTAATCAGAGGGCATCCACTTTTGGCCAAGCTCCAACTTCCCTGTAACCGGTGTGCGTGGGAAGGGCAGGCAGTGCAGCCAGGCAGGGGTGGGGATGCTGGAGCCCGCCTGAGCCCATAAAGGACATAACCTTGGGGTAGGGTGGGAAAGCTGGAAGCTGGAGACCTGCCATCTACTCAGCAAGCACTTGTGGAGAGGAACATCAGATTTATTTGGCTGCAGGAAGCACTGGGGACCAAGATCAATACTGAGCCTTGGGGCTGTATTTCAGTTTTTCATTGGCTTATGCACAACCATAATAACTCCTTGTTTTAACATAGTTCTTACTTTCAAAGAGCCCCACATGTTTTATTTTCAGTTTAATAGATTCTCAAACATGTGCTCCTGGCTACACTAATGCAAGCGTAACTATCACCACTTTATGTCGAGGAGAGGGAGCACCAAAAGGTTAGGTGATTGTGAAGGTCATAGAAAGGGAGAAAGATGGTCCAGCTGTAGAAAGTGCCATGCAGGGTGCCCCATCAAGGTGCAAGCCACCCACTGGGCTCTTTCTGATAAGAGACAGGTTTCTATAATTCCTACCTTCTGATCAACCTGAAATCATTTTAGCTGAAAAGTCATATGTCTATCTGGCATGTGGCACTTCTGTTTTGCTGCAGGTATCTTGAACTAAATGTGTTCCAAATGGAATACTTAAGCTGCATCTCTGAGTTAAACCCATGTCCCTTCCATGTCCCCTACCTCTGGGAAAACACCCCCCCCCAGCTACTGTTCTGATCACCTGTCCCTGCCCCTGGACCACATAGCCTCTCCTGGGATCTGGATGCTCTGCTCCTCGCCCACCCTTCAGCTGACCAGCCACCAGAAATGAATACACATAGGCTGCAGTTCACTTTATCCCTAGGAAATGTTCTCCTGAACCGCACAACATAAAGGGTCTCATCACAGCTTCAGAACTGCTTGATGTCCCTGTTCCACCACTCAGCAGCAAAAAGACCAGTCTGAGTCGAGGATCTGTCTCAACTGTTACTGAGCCCATAGCACTTAAAAATGGTATATTGCTACATAGAAGGAATGCAATACATGCTTATGGAATGAGGAAAAATACTCATAGCCCAGAGTATTTTCCTCCCTTCTCAGGTTTAATTTGGGGATTTTAATCCCCAACATCCCTTGGATGAAGGGAGAGACAATGGGAAAATGATGGGATCTTCTACTCTTGGGTGATGTTTGATTTTGAGGGTGCTATTGGAGTATATCCTGGCCCCAAAGAGGCAGAGAATAAAACAGATGCATTCTCAATGCTATGGAAAACAGCTCACCCAGCAGGGCCAGAACTTTTATGAACACATTGATTTCACCTATTGATTATATGTATTCCACAGAGCCAGGCTCACTCCATCTCTCCGCATCCCCCA